TGTAGTTAACAAACACCACACATTCATTACAAAATATAACATTAACATCCAAAACTTTAGATGGAGGACTTCGGTATAACAAACATCGACAATTTCACAAATTCTCATCTAGCTGTTACGTTTGCAAATGGCCAGATTACCCATAATCACGAAGGTGTGAGCTTTCAGTGTTCATCTCCAAAATTATTTACGATCCCACATGAGTGCACATTCGTGGAGCTGAAACAAAGAATTTGTAATGCTTTAGGCATTGATCATAACACCCAGTTCACTAACTTGTACTATCGGAAACCAAATCACAGTGGTGAGGGTTTAGTTATATTTGAAGCTTTTTCTATTTTAACTGATGTTCATGTGGCGCAGATGCTTTCCTGGAAATCCAATTTTCCAGTCTCTTTAATCATTGAAATTTATGTCATCTATCAAAGATCAACAGAACAAATTATGACGCTTTTAAACCCTCCAGCCCCAAGCTCTTCATCAAACCCTCAATTCATCACTTCTAGTAAAGCTATAATATATTTTGGGAGACCTATCCAGTATGCCACTATCATGAACTGTCCACATGGTTATGGCCTTATGTTTAAATGTCTTCACCCAATAAGAATGATCATCCAACACAGCTGGACTTTCAATCAATTGTTTCAAGAGGTAAGTGAGGTACTGGATTATGGAGACAGGAAACAAATTACAATAATCAATTATAGACGACTGATCCGGGTCATCAACCAAAAACTCGTCTATGATTGCATAGAAATAAAAAATGATTCTGATGTGCAACAGATGATCGCACGATGGAAAAAAATATTTGAACTTCATTCAAGCATTCAACGTACACATAACTGGTCAAAGATTGAATTGTTTGTAGAAACAAAAGACGGACGACCCCCAACACTTGAAGAAAGACTTCGTGATTGGCATGACAGTAAGTATATTGACCATCATGGAGAGAAAAAATATGCAATAGAAGATCTTTTTTAATTTTTAACCAATTAAATGTGTATTTTGTATTTTCTTTTCTGTTTCCATGTCTGTTTCATTTTATTTTAATTATGAAAGTTTCATTTAGTTGTTGTTTATTTTCTTTTATTTAATTTTTTATCTATAAATTCGTTTCATATTATCTAACAAAAATAATCTTAATGATTTCATTTAATTAATTTTGCATACAATAAATTAAAAAACAAAGATATTATCATAAATCAAATTATTTTATTTTTATTAATATCATTTTACAAACTAATTTATTAATTTTTAAAAAATTTAATATTTTATTTTCATTAAATATAATTTTATTATTTAATTTATTAATAACTTTTATATTAATATATATATTAATTAAATAAATATTATTAAAATAAATAAAAACATGTTGAGATAAATATTATTAGTTAGGTAAATAAATATTAAAATGGGTGATTGAGATAAATAAAAAAAAATTATTCAAAATAATATTATCATATTAATATTCATAAATCATATTAAAATGACTTTGGAGAGCGGTTCAAACTGGACCGCTCTTAGAAGTCTACTTTGGAGAGCGGTTCTTATTTAACCGCTCTTAGAAGTCATTTTTGGAGAGCGATTCTTATTTAACCGCTCTCATAAGTCCACTTTGGAGAGCGGTTCGTATTTAACCGCTCTCAGAAGTCGCCTTTCTCGCAGCTGGGAATCTACTGTACGGATACAAATTTGAAGACCAGAATTCGACTTTCAGGGAGTCGAATTCTGTACGTAAATAGTAATTCGGTCTACTTTGGTAAATATTTTTGTGACAGGTCTATTTCAGTATTTTTATTTTTTTAATATATTATTTTGGTTAAAAATTCATAAATTCACTCCCCACATCTAGACGTGCAACTCAAGTCGAATTCGAATTAAATCAGATAAAAAAAATATTTCATTATAACATAAACTAAAATATAGAATATATAGGCATTGTATTTATTATAATAATAATAATAATAAAGAAAATATAATTTTTAAATGCAAATATAATACAAAAACAAAACAAATATATTACTAGTGCAGTTTGGTTCGATTTTAACAATAAAAATTAAAAATTGAACCAAATGACAATATAAAATGTAATTTTTTTGGTTTGACTATTTTTTATTTTTATATCAATTTAGTAGTTTAAAAATAATTTAGTTCAATTTTTAACAAAACATACAATTTGGTTGCTACCTGCTCACCCACTTTGTAATAAATAAGTGCTTCTTCTAGCCTTGAAGAATTTGTAGCAACATATGCAATTCATCATTTAGTGGCTAATACTTTTAACCAAATTTATCATTTAAATCAATTTTTTTAGAAAAATTAAAATAATAAAGATAAAAAAGTAGTTAAAAATATATATTATTTAATGTCATTATATGACAATTTAAAATATAAAAGAATGCTAAAATTAAATGGAAGAGACTCACGGTACATTATTTGATGGAAAGGGGTGAAAAAGAAAATAAAAATAAAAGAATGATTAAAAAAACCCTTCAAGTATTTAATTTATTTTAGTATTATATATAAGAACTATAATTCTTTTGAAAGCTTTAAATAAGTTTAAATATATATTTTATCTTTATATTATAGTAATTTTTATATTCTTTTTAAATTCTTTTTGAGTCTTTATTGTAATTTAAGCTATATTTGATAAAACAAATTAAAAATTGTAAATTTTTAGTTGTAAAATTAGTTGAAAGTTTATAACTGTATAAGTTATATATAATGGATAAAAAAAATAAAAATTAAATAAAATAATAATAAAATTAATATATTAGAAGTTAATTGTGTGAATAATAAATTATTTTAAAAAAAATGAAAAATATAAATATAAAAATATTGGTAGCTAATTTTTAAATTTTAAATATTTCTTTAGATAGTTTTTGAAAAGTTAGTTTCAAAAAGTTAGAAATTTTTTATTTTGTATTTACTGCGGGTAAGTGTTAGGATTGAATAAAAAATTAAGTTATACAAGTCTAATTTATAACTAATGTTATGTTAATTTTTAAAAATTAGATTCACGTTAAATTGATTTTTTTATTAAATATATTTGTATAACTAATTTAATGTTCTTAAATTACTTTTTAAAACTAATTTTTTTTTATTATTCACTCAAATCCATATAGGTACTCTCCTATGTCTTAACTTATTAGACCTTTGCAATATAAAATTTTTAATAATTATTTTTTATGATTAATATTTTTTATTAATCTTAATTATTATAATTAAGATTAAAATTTTAAAATAATATTTTTTAAAATATAATTATTATATTAAAAATATAAAAATATAACAAAAATTTTTAAATTCATTACTATTATTATTTTTATATTTAAATTTATTTATTTAAATTTTTTAAAATATTATAACATAATAATTTTATTATTATTTTATTTTTAAAAAATATTATTAATTTATATTTTTATATGTTTCAATTTAAACTTTCATCCTCACTCTATTTATTAAAAATAAGTTAAAATAAATAATAAATATTTTATAATTTTTTTTATAAAATATAATATAGTTAATAAATATTACAATTTTTTTAAAACATACTAATTCAATGCAATAATGCAATACAACAATTAATTTTACTTTAAAAAGTAAATTTACAAATATATTAAAAATTAATTTTACCTTAAAAATTAAATTTAAAAAAATTAAAACTAATTTAACTTATACTAGATTTAAAACTAATCTAACAGAAAGTATTGAATTTTAAAATAATTTCAACAAAAACCAAATTTTAAACCATATTTAAACTAAATTCAAATTTTAAAATTACTTTTTAATTAATTTAAAAAAATATAATTCATATAACTAGTTTATGTGGTCAATAAACAATAAAAAGTAGAATATATGCAAATATTTATTAGTTTAATAAATATAAATGTAAACAAAATTATATTATTAATAGATTAAAATATATACAAATATAATTTTATATTAATTATTATAAAATTTAAATTTTTTTAACTATAATTATTCAATAATAATATAAAAATATTTATAATATATTTTACTGAATTTAAAACTAGTTCTAAAGCAAATCTATATTTTAAGCTGATTTGAAAAAAACTAAAATAAATTAATTTAAAATTTAATTCATATAATTAGATTTAAAATGAATATAGATTAATTTTGTAAAATTCAATCAATATACTCTTAACTAATGTGTAACTTCTAACTGTAAAGCTAATTAAAAGCTTATAGTTATATTAATTATCTTATGAAATTAAATTATGTAAAAAAAATTAACTGATTTATGTTAAATGATTTAAAATAATATATTTTAACACATTATTTTAATAAAAATGATATTATTGATAAACAATAATTTAATTAATTTTTATAATTATTAACTTTAACATATTATATCAATAAAGATTTTATAAATTGATTTAAGTAATTTATTTTTATAGTTTATATCTTTATTTTAAAAATATTATTTATTTACTTAATTTATTTTTATTTAATAATATATACTATTAATTATTGATAGAAAAATGATGAAAAAAAGGGAAAGAGACGATAGTACAAATGAAAAAAATTAAATGATAATAAAAATAGTGTCCTAAAATTTCAACTGTGTGAAGGATAATTTATTTTTATTTTTAAAAATGAAGAGGAAAAATATACTAAAAATATTAGTAGTTATTTTTTAAAATTTAAATATTTATAAATTTTAAAATAATGTCCATTTATTAAATAGATTTATTAGTTTATTGATATAAAATTTTAAATAAGTTACAAATTATATTTATTAAATATAGTCAAAGTCTATTAAAATATGGTCGAATGATAATTTTAGTAAAATTATATTAATTAAAATGATTAAAAATAATAATTTACTAAAATATAAAAATTAAAATTATATAAAGAGACTAAAAGCAAACAAATATTAAAATTAAAATATATTTAAGACCTTTAATTAATTATTTATCTTTCGACATAGATAATAGTGTTTCACGTTGTGTTAAAGAAAGAAATTCGAAAGTGGTTGAAGCCCCTTAATTTTTAGTGGTTAGAGAGCCTGAGAAAACTAACTGCAACGAAGAAAAAAACCAATGTAAGGAATAGTTTTCCGTGACATTATCCTGTGTCTTTTATTTAGCTAAGATCATGGCACTTTGTTCTCTCCAAAACAAGTTCTCTTCTCTGTTACCATTGCCAACTACTCCCTCTTCAACGAAGATCTTTTCCTCTGTCACTAGGCGTCGAGCCATAGTCTTTGGTTCCAGCCTTGTAGTGCCCTCCTTGTTCAATCTGCCAAATCTCAATTCAACACCACTTGCACCTGCACGACAGCTACAATATGATGATGAGCTGCAGCAAGAAGAAGACCACGTTGTGCATCTCTTTCAGGTCGCTTTTATTTTATTATTATTATATAAGTCACACCCCTTTTCTCTAATTTTGATTATATATCATTGCTTTAGTTTAAAGTTGAACTGAAACCGGATATAAATTTAAAAGGTGCTTGCTTTTCTTCGTGTGTACTAAAATTTTGGAAATTGGGTTTCTGGGTTTTGATTCATTCGAGCCTAGATTATCTGCTTTTTTTTATTTTTCTTATGTTTCGTCTTTATACATTGCCAAGTTGACTGTAAAATATAAGAAAATCATTACGTGGTTTAGAAGTTGCAATGCACTCGGGGGGCATACTTTCTTAGAATTGCTTTTCTATGTGTTTCATTTATTTGACTTAAGAACTATGCCGTGTGAGAAAACTAGTAACACACTCTTGGGTAAATGTTCATGATATGTGAGTTCAGTATCACTCTATCAAATAATGGTTTTTGTTCTTTTTCTATTATCAGGTCTTTCTTACCAGTGCTCTAAGATTATTCTTTAAGGAATCAATAAATAATAAGTTTGTCTTGAATATCATATTAGAAGGCAATGAAAATCACCGAAGTGAGTGCCTTTTGACATTTTTTTTTAAACAAAAGGTTTCTACTTTTAATTTCATAATTACTGCCTAAGGACACTGGTTAATATTTTCCTTAACTACTGCCTAAAGACACTGCCTAATTACGTGGGATTATAACAGGAAACTGCACCCTCGGTCGTTTTCATTAAAGACCTTGAATTGACTAAAGTTCCCAAGACCTCTTCTAACGAAGTCATGCTAAACGAGGATGAAGATGCAAAACTAGAAGGCACCGGTTCAGGCTTCATTTGGGATAAATTTGGCCACATTGTAAGAAAAGCTGAATCAGAAAGGGGAATTTGTTCTCCCCACCTAGATTTTGATTCTACTTGTTTATTTTATTTTACAGTTGAATGGTGGATTTTATTTTATTTTTAGATTTATGAGAGTGGTTAGCTGATAGGACAAATTAAAATTATTATGTGCAAGATGTTTTAAATGCAAGGCTTGTATACATAATTTGACAAGATATCTTGCTGAGTTGTGGACTCTCCCATGCTATAGATATTGTCTTTGATAGCACAGGTCGAGAACTTTTGAAAGTAATTGTTTATTTTTTGCTGGTGGACAGGTTACCAATTACCATGTTGTTGCTAAACTGGCTACTGATACAAGTGGTTTACAACGTTGTAAGGTTTTTCTCTGATGCTGTTATTTCCATCAAATTTCTTATTTTAGACCGTAATTCTGTTTTCTGTATCTTCCTTCATTTAGTTTACAAGCATTTACCTGTCTACAGGTGTTCCTAGTTGATGCCAAAGGTAATAGCTTTTACAGGGAAGGGAAGATAGTTGGGTTTGATCCAGCATATGATCTAGCTGTTCTGAAGGTATACATAATAAATTCCAATCCTTTTCTTTTTCTCTGTTTTTTCCTCCCCTTTTCGTTATTCAATCCATTACAATGATGTCCTCATATTTGATGCTTAGACACCATTACTTTTTCTTCTAAAGCTGTTGTCTGCCATAATGGATTTTGTAGTCAAGTTCAACAAGTTATTTTGCTAATTAAGCCTGTCAATATTTTAATAATAAGGCCATATGAGACCATCAATCTTAAATTTGCTAGTCCAAAGTTTCTCTCAAGCATGTTGATATTGTATAACAAACAATGGTGTAGACATCAATATTTTCCTTCTAAGGTTCTAAAAATTTTAAAATAAATGATGTTCATGACACTGAAAGGCCTTGTAAATGGATATTTGTCTGGAACTAAAATGTAGACAGATTTGATTTATGGTTTATAAGAGGGAAAGAAAAACTCAAGACTTAAGATATGGAAACCAACTTCTAAGACTTAAGATATCTTGTTGGCTTGCTATGATAGTAATATGAATGTAAAATTAGGAGGCCACAAGATAACCTGACCATCTTAGGAGGCCACAGGATCTACTATTCTGTAAATTTTCTGAATCTTATGATTTTATGAGAATGACAACAAATCATCTATTTGTCTGGGACAAAAATAAGATTTTCTAGTGACTGGTAATATAGCTAATCCCCATTTCATGTCAATTAATATGTCGCATAATAGAGGGCAGTGCAGTCCCCTAGTTGTAAAGAAAATTTTCATTGCACTTCCTTTCATACAAAATACAACTAATAAAGGTAATCTAAGTTACATTTAACTTCTGCGTTTTTTCCTTTTCTTGGTATACCACTATCAGAAATGCTCAACACTTGTTGTATTTTCAGGTTGATGTTGATGGATACGTAATAAAGCCTGTGCTACTTGGTCAATCTAGCAATTTACATGTTGGGCAGAGTTGCTTTGCGATTGGGAATCCTTATGGATTTGAGAACACTCTCACAACAGGGGTAATCTTTTTAATTAATTTGTATCAAGCTTGGTAGTATTTAATGAAAAAGCCCCTCAATCAGCTATGAACATCTGATCACGCAAAAAGGATGAAAAATCGTGGATGGAATTTCTAGAAATTATTTATATGCTATCCTATTTAAATATTTTATCGTATTGAGTTGTAGTTTCCCAGATAGAACAAATCTGTTGGGTCCTTCAGAATAATCCCTCATTGAACAGACAATCGTAACCATTATGAACCACCTAAACTTAGGTCAATTCGTTGGACTGGGTTGGGTACAGGCCTAGGTTCATGTCCTAATAGTAAGAAGTAACTTCTGATACACCAAATATTTCTATCTATCTATATAATGTAATTTGATCATTCTGTATTGTCTGAGGTAAATTATGCAGGTGGTCAGTGGTTTAGGCCGCGAGATACCTTCACCAAATGGAAGGGCCATTAGAGGAGCCATTCAAACTGATGCAGCAATTAATGCAGGTATGCTATACCTTGTATTTTCCAAAAAACATGCATTCTCATAGCACTATGTAGTTATATGATCTTATGGGTGCACGGATATGAACAGGAAATTCAGGTGGACCATTGATTGACTCGTATGGCCATGTTATTGGAGTAAACACAGCAACCTTCACTATGAAAGGTAATAAGATGCTCTTCCTCGTCCTTTTGTTGTTAGTATCCTTCCATCATAACATTATTCTATGAAAGTGGGTAATTCGAGACTCGTCCTTATCTGAATTTTAGTCAGTAAATGCTTTGTCTTACTGATACTTCCTTTGCATCATTCTCGTTGCAAAACTCGGTTGTACATCATATCTATTTTGAAGTCATTCAGACACAAGAAGCTGCAAACACAATTCAAATTTAAAAAACTGAGATGGCCTTTTTGCTTTGTAGCATCTTCCCTCCATTGAAAAGGGTGGTGAGTAAGGTCACGTACTCACAGATTCATCACAAATTCAATTTTTCACCTTATATTTGACATGGGCTTCGGCTCAATCTATAATGCGTATCAAGGAGTCATAATGTTTCTCTAAGAACGATGATCTATTGCTGGCAATACATTAACTTTCAATCACTTTTTCCTAAAAAATAAATACAATTATTGCTCATTTTACTTTCACAGTTTCACCCGCATCGTCATATAAAATCATATTTCAATCCGAAAGTTATATAACTTGGAAAATTAAAATAAATTCATGTTTAAGTGTCTGTCAATCCAAACACTGATAGATTATTAACTTCCATGAATGATTTTTGCTCTGATACATTTCAGGGACTGGAGTGTCGTCAGGTGTTAACTTCGCAGTTCCCATCGACACAGTTATCAGAACTGTACCATACCTCATTGTCTATGGAACACCTTATAGTAATAGGTTTTGATTACGCGTGCTTCAATTTTTTGTGTAAAATTTTATATTAACTCTGAAAATCACTTTAATTTAAAGTTGTACATGAAATACCACACCATGTCTATTCTAAAGAAGAAAGGTAGATCCAATGCAGCATCTCAATAAGACACAATACAGCATGATATTTAAAGGAGGAACAAAGCAATAGTTAATGTGAGTAACATAACGTGAACTAATTTTTGGTTGCTAAAGAGAGGGAACGAAACCCTAAGCCTTAAGGCGGTGAGGTTTGGCGAAGGGAAAGGAGAGAGAGTTGTTCATGGATAGAGCAATCGACGTGACAAGAGGTGCGGCAAGAAGAAGGAATGAGAATGAGGCCAAGGCATCTCTGTTCCATCGGAGAAGGCGAAGATTGGCGAGTGCTGCGGTACTCGATGGCGTCCTGAAGAATGATGTTACCTTGCTTGTCGATGCAGTAGAAGGAGCCCAAGAAGAACCTTCCGTCTTTGATTCCCACAAGCATTCGCCGAAATAGAAGCTTCCTCACCTGATTCACTGCACCACAATCATCCGAGTTCACTGCTTCAGTCGGAACGGGTTGATCCATCGATGTATGTTTTGTCTTCTTCTTCTTCAACTTGCTCGCTTCGGTAGCTGCTCTGTTTCACTGCCCTAAGTCCCCTAATAAAGTAACCATAATACAAAAATAATTAATACGGGCAAATTTATTATAATATTATAAATTAAAAAATAATTTATTATTTTATAGCAAATCTGAAACAATTTCTCAATCTGAAATTTTTTTGTCACGTGGATCAAATTTTCGCCAAACGGCTGGAGAAAGTATTAATTTTTGAATTTTTAAATATCTATTTCGCCACAAAAAAAACGAAACATGACTTCTTAGAGCGGTTAATTTAAAATCGTTCTCATAAGTCTATTTTAGAGAGCGGTTCCATTTGAACCGCTCTCAGAAGTGAATATTAGAGAGCGGTCTTCCGGAACCGCTCTCTTAGATTTAAAATGAACGGTTGGAGAGATTTTGATACACGTGCCAACATCTGAGATGATTCGCCCTGCTACTGGCGAAAGTTTATTAAAGATTAGTAAAAAAGAATTTAAAATTTAAATAGTTATTTATTTATTTATATATAGATTAATATGTTTTTAGAAAAAATGAAATGTGATATAGTTAATTAAAATATAAAATTATAATTAATTGTTAAGAAGATAGGTTAAATTAAGATTTATAAAATTTGTTTACAGGAATTATTATAAATATTTATTAAAATACAGAATAATAAAAATTGAATTAAATAAAATAATTATATAAAACTAAATATTTTAGTTTGATTGTAATAAATAATTTTTACACTTATATTGAAGTAAAATTTTAAAATTGTATTTATATAAAATTTATGTAGATTTAATTTAGAAATATAAAAAAATAAAAATGTAATTTAATTTTAGGTAGTAAGTAGAGTTTTGTATTTAAATAAAATTTGTATGTAAATAATAATATTTTTTACTTTAAAAAACGTAATAGTATTTATATAATTATAAATTAAATGTAACTTATGTAGATTTAAATTGGAAATATGAAAATATTAAAATGAGTTTTGAACCGCTCTCTAAAATAGACTACTAACCGCTCTCTAAAATAGACTTATGAGAGATTGGTGAAAATAGATATTGAAAAATTTAAAAATTATTACTTTCGCCAGTCGTTTGGTGAAAATTTGATCCACGTAGCAAAAAAATCCCAAATTAAAAAATTGTTTCAGATTTGCTATAAAATAATAAATTATTTTTTAATTTACAATATTATAATAAATTTGCCTAATGTTCATCATTGTAACCTTTTTTTCTTTTTGATTTTTCATCGTAACTTTAAATATAATATAATACACTCGCAAGCATTTTCTTGATCTGAACATTTAATTTTATTTTAAATATCAAATTAAAAATATATACTCACGGATAAATTATATTTTTAAATTTCTATAATTATAAATTTAATTTTGATTAAAATAATTTATGACAGTGATTTTCGTTTTACTTAGTGATTTTTTTGCTATATGAGTATTATTATTATTAACTTAAAATTAAATTTTTAAATGAGTATGATATAAAATTATTTTTAAATTCTTTAGCAAAAAAAAATTATTTTTAAATTCTAAAATTTATAAAATCAATTATTTTATTATTGATTATAAATTTTTTATATTAAATAAGATTAAATCAAAGAGATAAATTTTTAAAATAGGAAATAAATTATAAAAAATTAAAATTAAATTTTAAAAGTTGAATGCGCAGTGTAAAAGAAATCACATGATGAGAAAAAATATATACTTATTAGGAATATATTTTCATTTAAAATCATTAAAATATTCTGACGTAACAATGAATACATAAAAGATAGATTTTGAACCCCAAAAAATTGGTCCAGTAGTGCGAGATAGAGTTTCATACTTGACCGATAGGAAGTTTGAAATTTCACTCGTCTATTTAGAATGAGATAATATAGTTTGTTTTTCTTCATTATAATAAGGTACAATCACTTCTCCTAAAAGAATAGATTTTATTTTTATTTTTAAATATATTAATATGTTAAAAATATCTATTATTGCCTTTAATATATTTCTTATAAATGATTTAAAATACTTCTATAATTTGGTGCATGTTTCGGTGTCCCTGATGTTTAGAAAGTATTTGTCTTTCACAGGGGTACAGACATGTAATAATAACTTGATTTATGCTCCTTAAATTTTAAAATTATAATGCCAACTTGTAAAGTAGTGTTCTTGGATTTTAATTATGATTTAAAAAAATTGTGCACGTAGTTATCAAATTTGATAGTCTAACCCTAGTTAAGCGTATGCCCTTACTATGGTTAATGCACTTTCATAATAATCATGAAGTGTTGTTTACCTTTCCACCGATGAAGTCCTAGGATGTTACCTTTCCTCTTTCCCAAGGATGTGAGATTGAGTATTGGTTTCCAAAATCTAGTCACCAATATTGCGTGAAACTTAGTGAAACTGCATTAAGATTTCTAATTGTATCATGTTTGGTTTTATGTTATAACGCAATTAAATTTACATTAATTTTAACGCTATTAGTTATAGTTTGTGTTAAATTTATGTTTACAGATTTTTAATGCGATCACGTACTTAGACTATTCAAACCTAATTGTTTGAGTGTGCTTTCGTCTCTAACCTCTGTTTGGCCATCTTCCTTAAATGTGGCAAATTGAGTAAAAGTTGAAAGATTAATGCTTCCTTTTATTCTCCCATCAACGTTGGCTCATCTGCCATAAGCAGATGCAGTGGAAAGTTATAGCTTATCATTTGAGAGACTATTTTGCAAATTAACATATAACTTTACAATTTAAAGATCACAAGTCAAACTATTGTTACGTCACTTTATTGCTAGTAAAACACATACAAAGGACCTTTAATGCCCTCTCAAAACTAAGCGAACCACGTAATTCACCTTATAATAATATATGAAAGAATTACTCTTATATTATAAACCTAAATTTTCTGTGTTTAAGAGTTACTTTTATTCTCCTTAAATCATACAAAAAGGTAAAGTTATTATCTTATTTTTAGTACGTGGATGTTGTTATAAAAGAATATATATATATATATATATATATATATATATATATATATAATTATCTCATACTAGTATAAATTTAAAAAAACTTATATTCAATTTTAATTTTTTATTTAATTTATATTTAATAGATTATAATTTATTATTTTACTGACTGTTAGATATAAATCAAATAAAAAATTCAGATCGAATATAAATTTTAAACTCTTATACTAAAATTTTTAGACTTATATTAATATGAGATATATAGTAATATAAAAAAAATACTAATTGTAAGAGTGAAGTTTATTAATAACCTATTTTTTAAAGTAAGAATTTCTTTTATAATGCAGTAGTATAATTTTATTTTTTTAAGTTTTAACAAATTTTTTATTCCTAAAAAAGTTACTATATATAAAAATAATTTTTAAAAAGTATTAAAATATAATCTTTAATATATTAAGTGTCTAAAAAATTAATAATTGTTATAGCAAAATAAAAATAAAAATAATTGTTGTTAACTTTTATATGTCAAGTAGTTAATTAATTAATTGAATTTTGACCTAATGTTGCCATGTGTTTGATACGTGACATACCCTTATTCTAATAAACATAATAATAAAAATAAGTAAATAAAAAATTAAAGTTTCAATATAGTTTTATCCTTATAAAAAAGATTGTGTTTGAATTAGTTGGTAAAAATTTTGTTAAAATTTAATTATTAATAAATTAAGTGAATAAAGAATTACTTAACATTATTAAAATTTAAATCATCATTGTTATGTGACAAACTCTTATTCTGATTAGTAAATAATATTCTAAAATAAAAAATTAAATAAATTTTTATTTTTTATAAAAATTGTTGTATTTATAATTAACTTTTTTTAAAATTGATAAGAATTAGTCTTTAGCATATTAAGAAAATAAAAAAAATAATTTTATCTTTAAGACGTGTGTTAAACATGAGTTAACTAACAAAATTTTAACTAAATAGTGCCACAAGACAAATAAATCATGTCACTCATTATTATTTTTTTAAGAAATAATTTTTATTTGGTCAATTTATTAAAAACTAATTTTACATAAATAATGTTTATAGCAATAAAAATTATATTTAACTATATTTTAAAATATTACATAATGATATTTATCATATGTCTAACATGTAAACAACATTGGGTTCAAATTTTACAGTTAATATTTTATAGATAAAAAAAAGAGTTTTGTTAATCTAAAAATAGAAAACTTTTATAAAAAAATATATACAATTATTGTATTGAAGTTATAAAAATATAATTAATATTTTTTAATAAAATTTTATTATTATTAGTGACTTAGAAGTTAACAAAACCTATAAAAAAAAGTTAACAATAAAAATTAAGAGCATATTATTTTTTATTTAAAAAATATATATGCTTTGAATTTTTTTTATTTAACTCATTTTTAAAATATTACATGTTGATAAGAATTTATCACAAATCTAACATGTTACACTGTCAAGTCAAAATTCTATCTTAATACTTTATAAATAAAACTCAATAATAGCAATTAACTTTTTACATATTTTGTTAAAGATTAAATTATATTTTTTAAGAATTAATTTAAAATATAATAGTTTTTATAAGATTACAAAATTTCTATAAATCAAAATTTTATTGTGTTTGTATATTTTTAAAATTATTATTTTTTATATTATTTTATTTTAAAATTTAATGTATTTATTATTATTTTAATATGAATCTATGGTGATTTATTTTTTAAAATTTTTTATATGTAATCCTAATAATGGTGATGGTTTTTATTTTAATTATTTATTTTCACATTTTTTACTCTTTTTAAGGAATTAATTCTTTATAATACATTAAGATATTTATAATTTTATTTAATTTAAAAATATATAATTCACAATTTTTTTTTGTTTCTATATATCAACTAGGAGTCTTTATTTATGTGTTTTATTATTTAAAATGAAAATATTTGTAAACGATATTATTTTTCTCATTATACTATTTATTGTACATTTAGGATTTTTGTAATTTAATTATATTTTTTATCTTTAATTTTATTTTACTTAATGTAATAAAATATGTGATTTTTTAATATATACTTGTTCATTTGTTACAAAAATATTTTTGTATGTTAAAAAAATCATCATTATCTATCATAAAAAAATCATAGTTATCACTTGGTAATATATTATAGTTATTAAAAATTAATATGCATAATATAAAAAAAAAATGCATTACTGCACCAAAAAATAAAATAAAATAAATATGCATTAACTTATTTTTTAATTAAAATATGCTAATAAGCACACTTTTTTGTATTAAAAAATATAATTACAACTTATTAGTATATTTCTTTTAAAAAAGTATACGTATATCAAAAAATCTCATAAAATATTTATTATTAATAATAAACTTATTTTATTTTTAATTTATAAAATTTATAAATAATTATATAATATATTTTATTGGAAAAAGTTTATTTTTTTAATAATATATGTAAAACTGTTATATACAAAATTTAAAAGAGAAAAGAGGAAGAGAACGAAGAACAAATCTTTGGGACCTGGATTGCGTTCTACGGTGAATCACTCACTCTGTGTCTCTCGTTAGGGTTTTAACTGGCTTCTTTGTTTTCTAACTAATAATCAGGTACGCGACAGTGGTTTTGACATTTTTAATAGTTCGCATCTATTCGTTTTCATTTTCAGGCCGTGTGAGGTGCCGTCGCAGTATAACAAGTTATCTTACCTTGTTTTGTATTGAGTAAAAGTATAGCTTTATTTGTTAAACAGACGGTCATGTTCCATTATTATTTGATTTGATTTTCAAAATTTTCCAAGGTTTATGGTGCATTTGATGTTGAATTTTGCTTTCTGACTCTGTTCCACAAGATTTTTCATATTTCTTGTAGCTCCGGTGTCTGCTCCATCATATAATTATTTGTGCTTTAGTCAGATGATACAAGACGATGTTGAAAACAGTGTAATGTATTTGATTAGCATTAGTGTAGGTATTTTAATTGGGCTGCGTTTAAAGTTCCTACTATGTTAACTGATAACTGATAAGTAGTGGGCTTATGTAGGTGTATGATCCTTTAAATTTAATAGCTTGATTTAGCAATAAAAAGTGGCAGATTTTGGCAGCATTTATTGTTTCATTCAAGCTTCTTTTTATCTAAAGGGTGGCTTGAAGGATTATGGTGAAAAGAAATACCTATATTTTACGACAGATTATAAATGTATTTAAAATAATGTTCTGTTTTCAAGAGCAGTGCCGGTAATTTAATGGGTGAGACTGGGAAACGATATCGATCACAGAGAGACCATGATGGGGACAGCAGAAATCAAAAGAGGCGTGTGAATTTCAAAGATGAAAGGGGAAATGATGAATTGATTGTGTATAGGATACTCTGTCCGGATGGAGTTATTGGGAGTGTTATTGGTAAGAATGGAAAAGTGATAAATTCAATAAGGCAAGAGACCAGGGCAAAAGTCAAGGTTGTGGACCCATTTCCTGGTGTCACCGATCGAGTTATAACAATTTACTGCTATGTTAAGGACAAGGAAGAAATTGAGGTGGAAGATGAGTTCAATGATAAAAAGCCATTATGTGCTGCCCAAGATGCTCTTCTCAAGGTTCATTCTGCAATTTCAAATGCCATGGGAATTGTTGGAGATTCTGAGAAGGAAGAATGCCGAATCCTTGTTCCATCCAGCCAGAGTGCAAATATCATTGGTAAGGCTGGGGCTACCATTAAAAAAATGAGAGTTAAGACAAGAACAAATATCAAGGTCATTGCTAAGGATACTTCTGATTTGACACACTCATGTGCTTTGGACTTTGACAATTTTGTTTTGGTTAGTATACCAAACTCACTAACTTACCATTGATCTATACTATATATTGCATAGTAACGAAATCACAACACTGATATGTAGAGTGGTGTGTAAATTTACCCTCACTTTTTTCATAGTGACTGTAGCAAGTTAGCAACTATAGTTGCATGAAAGGTTACACAGTTTTTTTTTACTAGTGGGGTAATGCTTGGTTGTAAGATGATGATGCTGTAAACATTTGACATTGTAATATTTGTGCAGACCATTCAGTTAGATATTTGTATTTTCTCACACTAATATGCATTATGTTATCTGTTAGCTATGCAACATAAACATGCATGTTGACAGTTGAAGAGTTTCTTCATCTTACTTTTTTCACTTTTATTTTGAAAACTGCCTACAACTTGTTTGGTCAATAATGATTTCATTATTATACCTTCTTGTTGTATTTTTCAGGTTTCAATAAACCTTTAGTCTTCATACAAGACCTCTTTTAGTCTTTATAGCTAAAAAATTTGTATATCAATTCTTATACAAAAATTATTTTCAATTTCATTTTTGCCATTACAGTACGTTATAACGTCATTAGCTCTTTCTTCTACTTGACAAATAGTTATCCAACATGGCATATTTATATTGTCTTTTAATCTTTATACAAGATCTTTTTTTGTAATTTAGTCTTTATAAGTAAAAAAAAAATTGTACATTAATTCTTATACAAAAATTTATTTGCAAGTTCAATTGAAAATTTTTGTATCAATGTCAAGTGAAAATTTTTCATTATCTTTTCCAAATTCTTCAAAGAAACCTCATATTTTGCTTCATATTTTTTATGTCCAGCTTCATATCTTGATATGTTTTTACATAAGCATTACTTTCAACATTTTCATCTGTAGTATCACTACTTGTCTGTTCTATTATATTCTCATCATAATCCTCATCCCTTTTTCTATCATCTTTATCCTAATATCTTAAATTTCAGCCTTATTTCAAGAACTTTCTTCTTTTGTATCATTAGTACATTTATAAGAAAATCTAAATTACTTTTTAAATCATTACTATCATCATCGTTTTTATTTAAAGAAAAGAAGCATTAGCTTGTATTATAAAGCTGAACGTTATGAATTGAAAAGGTAGAAAGCAGAATATGAAGCTTTTTTGAAGAATCTGAAATACTCTTCTAAAGATGAAAGGAAAATTTCAACATAATGATAGAGACGAAATTGCAAATATATTTTCATATAGGAACTAATATACAAATTTTTTACTTATAGAAAATTAATTATAAAAAAAGGGTATTGTGTAAGAACTAAAAAAACAATTTAAACCTTCTAGATTGAATAACCGTTTGCAAGTAAGAGGAAGAGTCAACATCGTTATAACGTATCATAACAGCAAGAGTGAAATTAAAATCAAATTTTGGTAAAAAAGAGTCTTGTATAGGGACTAAAAGCTCATTTAAATCTATTTTACAATTGCCATATATAATTTCTTACTGGTTTTAATTTTTGAAACTCTTAGTTGTTGCTTCCCTTATCCCATCCTGAATATTTCTTCCCTTGAATATATGGTACTATTACCAATGATAAGTTGCTTGTCACTGTTGAACTTGAAACAAATGCTTTATTTTTTTTATTATTTTCTAAGTTCTATGGCTGTCAAGACAGTAAATGCACTTATGGCACTAAATTGTTGTATTAATTGGGTAAGATAGTTAGTTGTATTGCAGTACGGTAAAACATTTTTTTAACTTGATAGGTACTTTACGATTACATATATCTTTTGATGTCTTTCTCTACTTCAACCATCCAACTTATATTCTATGAGTAACATTAATCAATGTGATAAATTTAGTGATCTTTAGAACTAGGAGAATTAGGCTGTTGTGGTTGTAGTGCTTAAATTATTGATGGAAAATTTGAGAAATTTTTGTATGGCCTTTGGCTTTGAAGGATTACCTCAATCCCCAATTTGGGATGGCACCCACATTGGGATGGGGCAAGGAGGCCTCCCCATTATTCTGCCATCCCCATCCTTGTTCCATGCCTTACGGTAATTTTGTCCTTTGTCCCTATTCTTTAATTCCCCATGGGAACCCCAACATTGTAAACACTGAATTTTTAGAAAACAATAATAAAGTTATTCAACCAATTATTAAACTATATTAAAGAGAAGACTAAATATAAATTTACATATTAATTATTAAGGAAAAGTCTAAAAAATCATTTTTACATGACTCCAAATCAATTTGGGAAGCTTTTTTTATTAATTATTAAAATAAGGGATAAATTCATTATTTTCAATGTACAGAGACATCGTGGGGCATGGGGTAAAATTCATGGCTCCTAATCAGTTTGGGAATATTTTTTTATGTCCATTCCCACCTTTGCAGGGAAAAAAATATCAAACTGGGCCCTCCCAAATGGGATAGTTCTCACAAGGATTCCCAAATGACAAGGAGAAAGAATGAAAACAAACTTTCCAGTATTTCAATGTTTTTAAGAAAAATATTATCAAGTTTTTCCTCCATTCACTATTTTTAGAGGAGAGTACTATCTATTATATGTTGTGAATAAAATTTAAGGTCCCAATTCAGTTACTGCAATGCATACACCGATGTGTGCAACATGGCATAAATGCTTTCATGCATGTTTTTGTGGGTAATTCTAAGTAGCCACCAATATTGCTGGAGAATCCATTTCGGTGCTGTAGCTATTCTTTTACATCAAGATAAGTGTATAATGTTTATTGGCTATAGTAGTTTGAATGTGAAATACATTTTCTGTGCATCCAATTTTGGAGAAAATCTTACAGTTTTCTATGTCTTTAATAATTTTCTATGCAGTTTTTGTCTGTTGTTAAAACAAATTTCTATATCTTACTATATAATTTTTTTCATTTTGAGTAGATTACTGGTGAATCTGATGCAGTAAAAAGAGCATTATTTGCAGTTTCTTCTATTATGTACAAGTTCTCTCCCAAGGAGGACATTCCTCTTGACACAACTGTACCAGACACCCCTCCTAACATTATCATTCCTTCTGAAGTTCCAATTTTTCCATCTGGTGGACTATATCCACTTTCAGATCCAATTATCCAACCTAGATCCGTTCCTCAAATTATAGACACTACCAATGTACAGGATTTGCAAGGTTATGCTGATACAGGAAATACATGGTCTCTGTACTCATCTGCACTTCCAGTAGTTTCCAGTCTTGATGCTTCCAAATCTGACGAGTTAATTGTAAGAATGTTGTGCCCCTCTGACAAGATTGGGTGTGTCATTGGGAAGGGAGGTGGGACTGTTAAAAGTATGAGGCAGGCTAGTGGTGCTCGTATTGAGGTTGATGATTCTAAGGCTCATCATGATGAGTGCTTAATCACTATAACTGCAACAGAGGTGTGCTATTCTGTTTGTTTCTGTAACATGTAGTGGCACATCCATTATTGTGATTTTGGGATGGGGGTGTTAACTTGTTGGAGTATAAGAGTCCGCGATATTTCCTATTCATATATAGAAGCTCCGACTTTTACTGTTTATCAAGATCTTTGTTTGTGGGGGTGGGTGGGGGTGTCATATTATAAGATCAATTCACAAAGTTATATGTGAGGATAAGAAAATGAAAAAGTCACATAAGACTTGATTGTTGAGGTGAGTTGTTGATTATTTCTCATCAGTTACTTGTGTGATTTATTCTTTCTCAATTCACAAGTGCATGTGTTTGGTTAGCGGGAGGGAGAGGGGGATCCTATAATGTTACTCCAGTTATTTGAATATTTCAATTTTGTTGTGTTCGCAAGATTTCAGTCAAGTATACTGTTTCTTTATCTCTTCAGGAATCATTCTAGGTGGTAGGTAGTCTTTTGTAGGCATCATTTTATAATATGGTCAATCTACAGGTGTACAAGCAGATATGCTTGGTGCCTTATTATTATTTAACTTGAAGGCTTCTTCAAATCATTGAATTTCAAGATCAGTTTTATGCTTGGTATACTAGTTGAAGTTGCCCATGCTCCATACTTTTTGCATGCAGTAGCCTCTTCTGATTTTGTATATTGACTATGCGCTGTTCTTCTATCATAAAGAGAGAAATTATCATTTAGTATGTGTATTTTGTAGTCGTCAAATGATCTGAAATCCATAGCTGTTGAAGCCATGCTACTACTGCAAGGGAAGATAAATGATGAACATGATACCATAGTTTCAATTCGGCTCCTAATTCCATCCAAAGTGATAGGGTGTATTATAGGGAAAAGTGGTTCAATCATAAATGAAATTCGTAGGAGAACTAAGGCTGATGTTCAAATCTCAAGAAGTGATAAGCCTAAATGTGCAGATGCAAATGATGAACTCGTTGAGGTTTGAAGTCCCTTTTGCTTCTTTTTTGTGTGTTTAATTTGTATCTTTATTTTATTTTATTTGAAGTTCTTTTCGATTTATGATTTAGGTGGTTGGAGGAGTTGATTGTGTGAGAGATGCACTAATCCAGATTGTATTAAGACTAAGAGATGATGTATTGACAGAAAAAGACATTGGTCATAATCCTCCTATATTTTCTGAATCCTTGTACTTGAATGGTTCCATTTATTCGGTGCCACCAGTGCCAGTTTCACCTATTACTGCTCCACTGGCTTATGATCAGAGGGCTGAAAGTGAAACTGGCTTGGGAATGTTTTCTTCTAGCAGCCTTTATGATTATGGGTCCTTTTCGGTATGTATTTCTGCTGTTTTTTCTGGCTATATCATCATATTATAATTGTTTAAATATTAGGATTGTTGACCTTGATTGTGATGAAATGGCTCGTACATTAGTGATTTGCAGTTCGCACACAATTCATTATCAGTGAAATATACTATTTCTCTCTTCCACATCTTTTCCCTATAATTTCAACAGTGGATTTGGCTCCTTTGAAATGATGGGTAGGTGCACTGTAGAGGACACACTGCATTTTGTAACCATTGAGTAGAAAATCAACTATTGTGATTATGATAAGATACAAATACATGTATGACAAGCTCTGAAGTTATTAAAATTTTTACAGTTGATTTTCTAATCAATGGTTACATATTCACTTATCCTATAAAGTGCACCCCATTCATTTTAAAGGTGCCAAATCCGACGACAATAACTAATCTCTTATTCTGTTGTGCATATTTGATGACTGATATATTTATATCTTGTATTGATTCTGATTTAAAGTTCTAGGTTCAATATATGGGAAAAAAATAAAATCTTATGACTAATTTATTTTTTAAAGTGCTATATATGAATTGATTTCTTAAAGGATATTTTTCCTTATTTCATACTCTATTTCTTAAAATGCATGGTTGTGATATACTCTTAGTCGTGTCTCCCTAAAAGGCAAGAAAATGGTTTTTTTTAACCCCCTATTATATATTAAAGAAAAGGAAAAGAAGGCTGCATTTGATATACTACCATATACTTTTAAAAGGGAAAAATATAGCATGAGAATGTATTCTGCTTAGGTCTTTCATGAAACATTTAGACAGAATATTTTTATTCTCCATAAAGTTATGCATTTCTTCTAGTTTGTTATATTTTCTCTTGTTCATTGTTCTATGGTAAAATATTTTATTCTTATGTTGTATTAGTGTGCTAAGACTTGAAACACTTTATGCCCAATGCTTGTGTTAATTGATTTTATTTTTTGAGACAGTAATTCTTATTATGGTCAATTTTATTGAGTATAGGTGCAGCCAAAACATTATTTTTTTCATTATATGGATAAGTATATTTTCATGGCCTGTATATTGATTTAAAATGGGAAAATCTTTTGCTAATGCAAATTGAAATTATGTTAGATAGATCATTTCTTATGTGCTTGCATAGCACATCTTCTAATTTTTTATTAGTCATTTGGCTTTGAATATAGTTGTTATCAAGTTATGGGTGCTGTTATGTTAAAGCAGATAACATGGTGAGATAATGTGGTGAATACTGATGGATTTCAGTATTCTTAAATTATTTTTTTTTGTTGGAAGGGGGATGAATATAGTTGTTCCACAGAACTGTTTCTTTTATTCAGCACATCCTTTCCTCTAGTTCTTTGTAAAGTATCTCTGTTTTTGGTACAATATGCTAAGAATTGCATTTATATATCTCTTTATTTTCTTCTTTCTGTTGTTACTTAACTCTTCTATTTTTATTTTTTAAACATGTCAGTGATATCTTCTCTTATTTGTGCCCCTCTAATAGATGGGAGAAAATGGCTTTGGATCTCTGTCTTCGTATGCCACCAAGCTATATGGAGGGTTAGTATATATTGTTATTAAAGTTACATACTTTCTATACTTCACCACTGACTTGGTCCCTTTTTCTTCTCTTTCCTTAGCTTTATGTCAAACTACTTAACCATTAACTCATGTTTGTGCCTTTATTATACACAGTTTGCCTCCCGTGTCAGCACTGGAGATGTTGGTTCCTGCTAATGCTGTTGGCAAAGTACTGGGTAAAGGAGGGGCGAATATAGCCAATATTAGGAAGGTTGGTTCACTCATGCTTATTTACTATACTTTTATTCTATAACGGTGATCTAGTTCATGGTTTGAAAGGCATATTTCTATTGTTTATCTTAAATAAATGTGATTGCCGCTATCTATAACACTAAGCTTTTGAATGGTGACAAACTGAAAACAGCTATTTATTTGAAATTTTAAAACTTTTATACGTTGCTCTCTCTGTTTAATTCTTGATATTTAATATTTTTTATTGCTAATTTATTACATTATGATTGATGAATATCCTCTCTCCAGTTATTTGTAGTAATGTAAAAAAGATATATTTAACTTTCACCATATCAAGTGATTTGTCATAAGATGGAAACAGCAATTTGTGCATGAACTAATAAGAAGAAACATATTAAGAGTTTTCCTTTTTTAAATATGTTTTTAGTGTTGCTCATTTTGATACACTGTAGTGCTGCTATTTTTCTGTTGTCATCTAAATAGACTGATGGATACTTGTTCTGTTTGATGTCAACAACCTAAGTATCAGGCATACTCAAGTTTAGACTTGCTTTAGGATGGATCACTAATTATTTTATACTTACATATTCTTTGCACATGTACTTAAACCTTACTTCATTGAATATTTATTTTATTCCTAGTTGTTTCTATCCAGATTTCAGGAGCAACAGTAGAGATTTCTGATTCCAAATCTGCCAGGGGTGATCGTATTGCTCTTATTTCTGGCACACCTGAACAAAAGCACGCAGCTGAAAACTTGATCCAGGCATTTATAATGGCTACCTGAGTTATTGGAGTTATTTATGGGTTTTGAAGGTGAAAATTTAATTATCATTTCTTGTTCTTATTCCTGTTTTATTTTACTTCCTCTGGGTTGATCAAAGAGAAGAATTCTCTAGGGTTCTTCAACTAGATTGCTACTTCTTTCATAACAGTGACTAGCAAGATTATGCCTGAGTATACATTGCTGGTTTCTTGTTATCTTCCTTTGTTTTCCTTTTCTTAATCTAATCTTCATCTGCATTTCTCTTCGAAATTTAGGATCAGAAATTTCTTTCTACTCATACTGACAGTTTGGATTCATCTTTATCTCCATAAATTATTATCCGAGGAGCCATAAAGTGATGCTGTTTATTTTATTTCTGATGGTTCAACTTCAACCTTTTATTCTCCTTTCTTAGTTTCTTGGTGAAAGTATCTGCCTAATGATGCAAATAAAATGCAGATTTTCTAGCTATCTCCTCTTTCTAGTTCCCTTGGCTTGCAAGCACTTTAGTTAAAAGTGGGGAAGTTGTCTCATGAAATTGAGACGTTGCAGAAAACTCCGGATCATTTGCTTCATTTGCTTCCATCTGTTACTATTTTCCATATCTTGTAATCCAGTCGAATGTGAGGGCATTTGCAACAATTTATGATCATACATTTCTGTTTGATTTCCAGGCTTCTGGTTGCACTTGTTATCACGCCATGTGCGCTTCATTGTATACCTCTACTCTGAAAAAAACAGTGGAATTTATTTTGTTCAACTAGTGTTCTTTCTGTTCACTTCTAGTTGTCTTGAGATGAATGCCACTCCCAAGGAAATGCTTGCTGCTGCATTTTATTGTAGCAAGCCTTTTCCTCTTTGATTGTTGTTTAAAATTATTTCATTGGATCTCCTAAATTCTATCAAGTTAAATTCACATTACAATCTCTATCTCTGCGGTCTTCAGCTTATCTATTATCCTGTTTGCAATGTAACATTTAGTACATTGGATCACTTAATTTCTATCAAGTTGAACTTACGTTGTGATCTCTATCGGTGCTGTCTGCAGCTTAACTATTGTCCTGTTTGCATACATTGTACGTTTGATCTTGTAAATTCTATCAAGTTCAACTTGCATTGTGATCTCTGTCTCTGCTGTCTGCGGCTTATCTATTCTCCTGGTCGCAACTTAACACGCACTATTTCATTTGAACTTCTATTATAGTTGATAGAATTTAGGTAACCATGATATTACACTGCTCCAATTTCAGTGATCTGTCTCAAGGTAACCATGATATTACACTGCTCTAATTTCAGTGATTTGTCTCAAATGAAATTTAAATTGTAGGCAATGGCTGATTTTCTATCCACTAGATATCTGCTTTCAGATATTGCGTTTTGACTAATGAGACTAATCACAGGTGCAATAATATCAAATCATCATATTTCATCGGCATTTGCCTCATTTCTGTACTTCTGTCTGCTTTTGAAAAAATCGTCCAGATTACCTGTTGTCTGTTTAACAAATACACAACTGCACCAATGTGCTCAAAACTTTCTTTCCCTTGCAATATGTGACTGACCATTGTCGATCTTTTTAGCTATAATGTGCTATCAGTTAGATAATTTTCAGTGATAATGTTGAACGATTGCCTTTCCTAGCAATGTTTTATTCATCAAATCCCTTGGACGTCATTCAGTCTCCCTGGAGTCTCGTCTCTACATAATTATTCTTGAAATATATTTTTTTTAATCTTCAAAGGATCTATTATACGTAGACAAACCCTCCCTACAGTATAGTTTAATGTTAATTTTCCATCTATCGAATTTGCCAATTTTTTTATTCTGCATGTTTATGTTTATACTTTTGTATTTGTTTTTCTTTTATTTCTATTATTTTCCCATCATTCTTATGAACGAAGAAGGATGTCTAGTTGAGTTGGTCATTGGGCTCCTAAGCCGTATTGTAATTAGTGAGTCCAATAGATTGATGATGTCATCCACCCTAGATGCTGGTTTGTCTCGGAGATGAATCTCTCCATTGATTCATTGGGTGGTTGAATTGTATTGAAATTTGACATCTAATAATTACAATTACTGTTTGTATACGAATTTGCTTTTTTGTTGCACAATAAGTAGTGGAAGTTGTAGATATCCATTGTACATGCATCTTTCTTAATTTTTATGATTTCTACGAGGAAAAAGATAGAATACTGTCTGCGTGTCTATCGTATGTATTAATTTATATTAACATATCCTCGGGGATAGATTCCATCCCTTCGATGTGGTACTTGCTAGGCGCATTCAGTCTCGTTATCTAAAAGCTACTCAATTAAATGAAACGGTCATAAAAAAAAATTGTTATAATCATTGTTCTTTACACTCCATTTGTGATAATGACTTTTCCAATCAACTCATAAAACATGCATGCATGTGTGCATACGTAAATATCTTTGAAAATTTTCTTTTTAACACATGTTAATATGCCAGATTTATATATTTTTTTCAATAACAACCGTACATCTGATACGGCTTTGGATGGTATTGGTGGAATAATCGTGACTGCTTTTTGTACCATATTTTGGCTAGCTGTATCACCCCTTTTTTGAAAACTTCAGTTACACCTATCTAAACAAATTGAGTATATTGTTTCTTTGGGAAATAAATTTCACTATGTATTGCATTGCTTTTGAAAATTTGATTCTAGGAGAAAATTTTTTACATTCTGAAACTGTAATTTCTGAATGAAATTTTAATATTTTTAGAATTAAATTTTTTGAAAGTGATTTGTATATTATTTCTAATGTTAGACAAGGATATGCAAATAGCATAAACAGAAGAGTTAGGATTTATTTACACTAGATGCAATTTTGAATATTTATATCATTTAATATTTTTTTATAGAATATAAAATTAATTAATTCAATTATTGTTTTAAATTTTTTTTATTAAATTAGTCAACTTTATAAAAAAATGAATAAAAATTTTATGACATTATTTTATTTTAATTTGTAATATATTTTTAAAATATAAGTAAATATTAAATTTTAGATAACATATTTATAAATATTTAAATTATGTAAAATTTTGTATACGTAATTAAAAAAATAATATAAAATAATTTAATAGTTACATTGATTAATTTTATATTATATGAAAAATTATTAAATATTGTAAGTGTCAAAATTTAACATTTGATGTGAATCTTGAGTATGAACAAATAGTGCAAAAAGTATTCCTGGTTCATTTTGTTTCTTCTTGAGGAATCCCAAATAGTGCAATAATGTGATACAAGATGGTAAATTCACTTTAAGATAAGTTTTTTCTTTATGCTTCCACTGTCGATGATAAGCAATATGATCCAATTATAACGTTCCTTCAATCGATGCTCCTACTTATGTTGTCATTTTCTGTTGCTTTTGCGATTCTCTTAGGTTATGTTGTAAACGATGAACTAAATGTCATTTTACTGGATAAATGGAGATATTGTGATTTATAGAGTTACACTTTCTATAGAAAAATTTGTGCTTGAAAATTGGAAAATAACGATAAAGTTGGGGAAATCCAACATAGAAAGCAAAAAGGGAAATACTGGGAATAGTAGTGAAGGATTTGGCTCTCACAAAATGAAGGTTGTATCGAAGACTATAATGTGAAGTCATAATTATTGATTAGAAAATTAATTAAATTATGACATGCATTTGTTGATTTAGAAATATGAAATTCTTGAAATTAATTTACTTAGTTTTTCAATTAAGTATCATGTTTACACTTCCAAAGTTCATTCTTTCGTTCTCTTACCCAAAAGCTACATATTTTAAAGGATAAAATATATTAGAAAAATATTTTCATGATGAACCCAAAATTTAGTTGGAAAAAAGGATAAGGCTATTAGATTTTACTTGAAAAAAATTAGGGATAAGGCTATCATCAGTGAAAATGGGATAACATAAAAGAATGCCTTTTTTAATGTCAAGTTGTCAATTCGCTACACAATCCATTAGGAGCAGGACCACGCTACAACCAGTGAGGAAATGGAGTAGCAGCATGTTATCTTTCAAGTGTATTGAGTGCTACGTCTACAACAACTTGTTGTGATAGTTCCTCCTCAACATAAAGGCATTGCACAAGTTAATGTCCTCCTAAGCCTTTCTCCCTTTGATCAAAACTTCAATTGATCATTTATGGGCTTCCCCACAATCCCATGGTTTTTTAATTTCCCTGTATCGAATTGTCTCTTAATCGTTACTCTTAAGGTCTCCATTGCAAAACCTTAGTGGGGTCCCAAAGGTAACATGTCTCCTAGTGGATCCACCATATTTTCAATAGATAAGGAGAATTCTATTTCTCCCCATTTTTTAATCTGCAAGAGTGCTTTGCAAATATGTTTAGATAAGTTTTAAAAAAATAAAATAAAAGCATTTTTTTAGAATTTTCTAGAGTTCTTCAGTTAGAAAAATATCCATTTTTCTTAAAATTTAAAAACATTAACTATCAAAATATTTTAAATAATTCTAAATTCAGGTTCAGGTTGCATGTCCCAAATTTTTAACCAAGAAAGATTTGTCGTCTCGCCGTAGAATGACAGTTGCCGTTCTTTTTCTTTCTCTGCTTCATATTGTGGCTCTGCGAAGTTAAAAAATAATGTAAGTGTAATTATGTACTGTGATTAATTAATACTCATGTTTTTTTCGTGAAAAACATAAAATTCATAGTTTTTAAACAGAAAAAAAAATCAAGAGAAGCAGTCAAGTAATTAGATCAATTTGTATTTGCAGCAAAACATTATTACCTCTAAATGTTAGTCAAATAATTGTATAACATATTCCATTAAAACTAACTTTAAAATTAGATGAAAGAAAAAATTGCAATAATTATGATATATTGTGCTTAATTTTATATATGATGGTAGAAAGTACAATTAAACTAATAACAAAAGAGATAAAATGCTTTTCATAAATTTTTATTGTTGTTCAGTCTCTCACAAATAGTTAACATTAATTTTCAAAAAAATATTAACCTCAACGTTTAAGATTGAGAGTAAGCAATTCAACTAGCAATTTTTTCTTTTTGAGTAAACTACATAGGTGTTAGTTATATGCTAGAGTAAACTACATTTTATTTTATCGAAGTTCTGTCATAACCTGTATTAGTGCATACACTTAAGGGTTATGAATATTTCATATCTAGTAAATGGGTGTGAAATGAGTAGAAATGTATAAAAGCTACGAAGAAGAGATAAAAAAAAGCATTATAATAAAATGTGTAAATTGAAAAATAACAATAATAATCTTACTTTTTTTTTTTAGTTTTAAAATCATAAGATACACTCTATTTTAAAATTTATAAATAATATTGATACACACGTTAATATTGTCTTGGTTTATAAATTTTTTGGTTTAATAAAAAATAAATTAAAAATATTTTTTTATCTCTTAAAGTATCACGAGTTCTTTAACTTTTCGTTGTTTCTTTTTGCTTTAGATTGCAATGTATAAAAGATTAGCCACACATCTTTCTAAAAAGATAAGTGTATATTTTTTAAAAAAATTTCAAAAAAATATTTTATAATAAAAAAATATAATTTAATCTGAAAATAAACAAGAAAAAGACAAGGACAATGTATGCTTGTAAATTTGGGTAAAGACACGTTAGGAATTTGAGAATTCTTCCCTAATTTTAATGAAATTTTTAATTCTTGGCTTCTTGCCAATGTTATTGAATCCTCGAAGGAACTTAAGACAGGGAAAAGTGTATGGTTTTAAAAAAATGAGAGATATAAATTATAAGATTTAAAGTTGGTACGTTGAATGTGTTTTGAACAAAAATATTGGGAGAGTAAATATTCTTCATGGTAAAAACGATAGAACATTTCAGTGAAGTTAAATTGTTTACTTTCATAAAGTTTTTTTTTTAAATATCTTTCGTGATTAAATGTTAGTGATAATGCATTAAATTAAATTTTTTTAATATCGCATGTCCCCCCTCACATGTATTAAAAATTGAAATAAAAATGCTTTATGAATGAATTTAAAACTATGATTTTTAATTGTAAAAACTTAATCACATTTTTAAATGTATCTATCAATGTATTAAATTAATTATAAACATATCTGTTTTTTTTTTTTTTACACATCTCTGTTGTTTTAGTAAATACAAAATCGGAAACTTTTAGCATGTCCTGTTTTAGGGCTAACTAAATGTAATAAAATGCTGATGGTATAGTGAAGGAAAACCATTTCGGAAAATAGTAATCTGTCGTCGTCCCATTTTTGGGGTGTGAATTGGGTAGGGAAAGAAAGAAATAAAATAAAAAGAAAAATATATAAAAAGGTAAAATATATTATTGAAAAATAAAAAGATTATAAAAAATATGAGTTAAACTATTTTTTAACTTTATCAAAGCTAACTAAGTCCTTGTGTTTGAAAGAGCTAAAAGGGTAAATAAAAATATTAACTTTATCATGCATTTTTCATTCTATGTTTTATTCATTAAGTATTAAATTGATAGTTGAAGAAAATATAATAAAACTTGTTTATCAAGCTATTAGACGCCATGCATGCTATCATGTTACTTAAAAAGATTAGGGTCAATGACAATTAGTTTTGTAATCTGTACAATGTATAATAGCTTAGCAATGCCAATAATGTATGTTTGAGTTCTAAGAATCCAAATTACAAGACATGCAAAAGGTCTGTAGAGTAATATATCTAAGAATTTTGAAGGGCAATGTCAAAAAGAAAAAAAAAACTAATATATATTAAATAACTCGTATGACAACTTGCGCTCATGGAGATGCCCGCTGTAAAAAAAATCTTTTTTTTTTTGCTAGAATAAAAAAAATCATATATTAACAGTTAGGTGTTGTTCAAATCAGTTTAATTTTTAATTAATAAAAATTTACTAATAAAGTAACAACTTCACTAAAAAAAAAGTCCTATTAATAAATAATTTAATTATATAAAAATAATTTATATTATTAACATAACATATTGTTATATACTATATTATATTATTAATATAAGCAATAATTTAATCTCTCTTATACTAATATTATATTAAATTTTTATCCATGATATATGAATTTTTTTTAGTGACCATAACAACTCACTTTATAAATTACCCAACTTACATTAAAAAAAATAGCACGACCTTTGGTGCAAATCTAAAAGCCTCAATCAAGGATTGTTTGAAGGAATTTTTGTGAGCAGTTGGTTTCTTTTTTAGGTGTTAAAGTAACGGTCGTTATTTCTCAAATATTTTAAAGATTAAAAGGTGTGTATATTTTTTAAAATAAATTATTAATTTTAATATTTATTAATATAAAATTAACAGTGATGATTATTTTACGTAAAGTAAGATATAAAATGTTGTCTTGAATTACAAGGTATCATAGCTTTTCGTTTTTTAATGTTATAAGAGAGTTGAAATTCTTTTAATAATTTTTCAAGAAGATGAAACAATCATATGACTGCAAAGCATTTTTTGTTTGCAGTCATCTTTTTAAAATTCTCCAAGGTATACATATACTGTAAAAGAGTTAAAATTATTCTTAAAGGTATTTTTAAAAAATGAAACAATCATATGAAGAGAAATAGAACTTTAACTGTGTCTGCTAATTAAAAAACACTAATGAATTATATTGATGAAACTAATAGCTTGTGGGTTTGTATCGTGAAGCCATGGAAAGGGGTTGACCATATATAATTTCAGTTCCAAAGCTGATAGTGGCAAAATAGGTTATATAACTTTGCATGCTTTGTGTCTGTACTTTCATACAAGTACGGAAATTGTTATCTCAATCATCGTGAAACTTGAGTGTTCATAAAGCATATGCCATGAATGCGCACACATGCCACATCGTGCGCGTGTGTTCTTATTTGGTTAGTAATTTCTTGGATCCAAATTTAAATTATGAGAACAATGTTTAGTGCACATGGTATGTGATACCTAAATGGGATACAGAATATGTATTTTGCATGGTTTATAGGAAGTTTTAGGTCATAACTACAAAGTCTACAGATAGACTAAGAGACAACTCAATTAAATCTGGCTTTAATTGCATCAATAATTCCACAAATCGCTTATATATTTCCTTTTTTTTTCTTAATTATCGATCGGTACTAATGAAAAATTATTGTGTTTAATATTACATACTTTTTAACATTTTTTTTTCATAACATAATATATGAAACAATGTTGTCCAGCCCTTTAACTTAAAAGCTTCAAAACAATGTCTTATGAGCCAATTAACAAAAAATAAAAATGTTTACCTTTTTTTAATAGAGAATTTTATAGATTGCGTAGACCACCAGATTGATTTACTAATTAATTAAGTCAAATAAACTATTTTAATCTATTTTCTTTTAGGGTGGTTTGATTTTTGTTGAGGAAGTCTCAAAATTATGGTTTGAGTTAAAGGTGGTAACAATATTAAAGTAGATTGACAAATTTTATTTCTCAACGTTTATTAAAAGCTGTCAACGGGTGCAATTCGAAAAGAATAAACTGTTATTTTAATCCTCCATTTGTGTGAAAACTCAACATCCATTGATAATCAAAGCTTAATTTCACTTAATAGATTCTTTAATTAATAACTTTGGTTATACATTTAAGCCAAACATAGGGATGCTTTAAGCAGGGATACGAATAATGCACGTTAACAACCAACTTAAACCAATGATTCCAATGCATCAATCCGATTACAGTTTTCAGTTTTCTATAATTTTTATTTCTAATATTCGTTGGTGGGAGAGACTGGCAGAATAAAATAAAATTAAAGGATCAGATTCATAAAACAATAACAGGGTGTATTGGAACCACGATCATAAAACTATTTTTGATCTAATTCAAGACCAGCTCATAATCGAAACATATCTTGCATGAATACCGTTTCATTCGTAGGAATGGATTAACTTGAGCCAGCTACCTACGACTCCATGTCTTTGCCAAAGAGTAATTATAGTGAAATATAAAATTCAGAGCAAGTTTTTCTGTGAAGAAAACATTATATGTAGAGAGACATATTTTATATTATATATTATATAATAAGTAGATGATGTATATTGAGATATTCATTCACGAGATATTGTATTTTCACATAAATTTTTTACGATAAATTGCATAACTAAAAAATAATATGTAGCAAATTGATGACAATATATATAATATAACTCTTCATTCAAAGATTACTGCTGAATACTAGTATAATTTTGTTGATAACAATATCAATATTTTGTAAACAATTATTAAGTTGTGTAGAAGTAAAAACAGATAAAAAAATATTAATTTACAAAATATTTATATAGTTCTATCCATTATGAAACTTAAATTGTGAAGTGTTAACGGTGTTTAAAAATCAACAAAGTAACTTCTGTATAAAAAAACTGAATGTTGAATAATAAGGATAATAGATCATGTTATGTTTTTAAAAATAAAAACTAAAATGGATTCCTAACATATTTAAGTTAGTCTAACAGAGAAAATAAATGAGAAAACGAAATATTAACAAGGAAAAAGATTGAAGGTGTGAAGGAAGGGCATCTCCAATGCAACCCTATGAAGCTTCCATAATGATGGAAAGAAACATTAGCTACATGTTGAATGAAGTTTGAAGGAGGAGCAGGTGAATTGTCACCAACCAATCCTTTATCTTCAATGTTAGTTATCTTTCATATACAACTGCTTCCCTATTTGCTTTAAACAGACCAGTAGGTGCCCTTTCTCCACTGAATTGCTTCTCCACCGGAAGCTAAAGTTCTTTTTCAAAAGTTTATAACCCAAAAAAGAAAAAATCATACGTGGGAATGCTTGCAAAACACAGTAAACCAAATACTTTTTCTTCTTCTTAATATAATTTCTTATCCCCCTGTTGTGATTAATGTACACGTTTTCTTCTCCAATAACTTTGTACTTAAATTTGTTTTTTTATAATCAATTTCTTTTTTCAAAATTCGACATATATTTTTTTAAATCTTTGCTTTTTTATTTAAATAATTGAGGATTTGTAACGGATTTTGTTTTTACAAGATTCATAACGGATTTTTTATTAAAAAAATATTTAAGGGATTTAAAGGTTAAAGATGAATTTTATAAAATATAAGTTTTAGATTTTGAAAAAAAATTCTTACATTGGATAATAAAATATCATATTCGATTGCTAGGTTTTAAGCTAAAACGGGTTTAAAATATTTTAAATGATTCAAGTATAATCATTCGAAGTTTAAAACAATTATGAGTTTTATAAAAGGAAACTAGCAAAAGAATTTGATCATAAAATTGAAAATTTAAGAGTTGAATTTGAATAAAAAATTATTATAGAATCCTAATTATAGATTAATCATAACTAGCATTTTTACTTATAGGGTTTAATATTTTTTTCATTATAATATATCTATATTTGTTTATTTATCTAGTTATATAAACATCCATCCATTTATTATATATAGTATAAAAGGTATTTCCTAAAGTTTTTACATAATATAAAAATAAAATGTAAATATGATACGTGAAAGATTAAAAATATAAAAAGTTAAGAAATATTATAATATATATATATATATATATATATAGATAAAAATAATAATACATTTATTACATTATAAGAATTTTAAAAATTTAAAAGATATCATGTGATAATTTTAATCAACGCATCTAAATGTTTTATATAAATAGATAAAGGGAATAATAATTTTTTTTCCCTTCATTCATTTATAAATATAGAAAAAAGTTGAAAGTAACTTGAAAGTTATTTCGATTCGAAAACAACAACAAAAATGGTTAAAAGATGATGACGAGATCAATTAATTGCTTACAGACTTAACAAAGATAGGACAAACTAAAATTGAAGAAGAGCATTTAACTACAGCCATGAAAATAAAAATAAAAGAGTTGCCAGAAAACGGGGTTCAAACTTAGAAAAGAAACTCCAAGTAAAATTTAAAATAAAGAGAGAGTAAAGCGGTAAGAGAAGGTAAAAAAATGAATGAAACAGGAGTTAAGGAAAGGAAAAGAATTGTTAAAGAGAATTTAGAGGAGAAAAAAGATAACAGTGAAACTAGGAGCTACTTAAAAACACACAATAATAGAGACAACAGAGGAGAAAAAAAGAAGCACCATATGACACACAAACACAATCACACCCTCTACCACTGATTCACCTTTTTCCTCGACGCGCATAATATCTCTCTCTTATATGTAAAGACAAAACCAAAACCGTGGATCTGTCTCCTCAACCCACCATTTCCATTACCATTCCCATCTCTTCATTCTCTCTCTGTGGATGCTTCACCCTTCGTAGATCTACCCGAAACCCACTTCTAAAAACGCCGAAATTTGAAAGCTTTCTGATCCGATCAACCCAATTCCCTCTCTTTCTCTCTCTCAAGAGACACCCAGATTTTGTTTCTCTCTCTCAAGAGACACCCAGATTTTGTTTCTCTCTCTAGAATGTCCTCACAGCGCGCAGATCTAGCGTGCAGGATCTACCCAGAACCCGACGCATCCGAAATGGACCACTTCGATCGGTTACCGGACTCGCTTCTCCTCCTCGTCTTCAACAGGATCGGCGACGTCAAAGCCCTAGGTCGATGCTGCGTCGTTTCGCGCCGCTTCCATTCCCTCGTCCCTCAGGTCGAAAACGTCGTCGTCCGCGTTGACTGCGTCATCTCCGACGATGATTCCTCTTCCTCCGCCGCCGCCTCCGACAAATCCCGCGGCCCCTTCTGGAACCTTCTCCGCCTCGTCTTCGGCGGCATCGTCAAGCCCATTCAAACCCTCGGCCAGTTCTTGGGCCCAAAGAGACCCACCTCCGCCGCCACCACCACCTCCTCCTCCTCCCCCTCCTCCTCCCTCGCCGTGGGCACCGACGAAGATGGCGACGCCGGCGTGACCCACCACTCCCCTACCCAAGTCCTGAAAAACTTCAACGAGATTCGGCTCCTTCGGATCGAGCTTCCCAGCGGCGAATTAGGGATCGAAGACGGTGTTCTCTTGAAATGGAGAGCAGATTTTGGATCAACCTTGGACAATTGCGTTATTCTCGGTGCTTCCTCTGCTTTACCCTCGAAGTCTCAAGACCCAATTCAGGACCCTAACGGTAACGGTAACGACGACAACGGAAGCATACCGGACTCGTTCTACACCAACGGCGGGCTGAAACTCCGTGTGGTGTGGACAATTAGTTCATTGATCGCTGCATCAGCGAGACATTACCTTCTTCAACCGATAATTTCGGAGCACAAAACATTGGATAATTTGGTGTTGACGGATGCAGATGGACAAGGGGTATTATACATGAACAGGGAACAGCTTGAGGAGCTAAGAGTGAAGCCTCTTTCTGCTTCTTCTGCCTCTAAGAGGACTCTTGTTCCTGCTCTTAACATGAGGCTTTGGTATGCTCCTCATTTGGAGATGCCTGATGGAGTTGTTTTGAAGGGTGCTACTCTTGTTGCTATTAGACCCACTGAACAGTCTCCTAAGAAGGAGCCTTCTGATTTGTCTTGGGTTTCTACTGCTTTTGAAGAGCCTTATAGAACTGCTGCTAAAATGCTTGTTAAGAGGAGGACTTATTGCCTTGAGATGAACTCCTTCTGATTCATTTCTCCTGTTAAGGTAGTTTAATTACACTTACACCTTCTCTTTTCTTTCTTTTCCATCGCTTTTTCTTGTTATATCATGCAATCTTTCAATTCAATCAGCTTCTTATTTATGGGATGAATTTCTTATGCAATAATAGTTTAGTGAATAAGTGCCTGATTAAGATAACATAAGATACTCCGTGGAATTGGACATGATTTCCGTGGAATTTTCATTTTTATGATTTTGTTCTAGTGTTGTGATTGTTTTCTTATTTATGCAACTCTTATTTATTTGTTTGGAATGAAGATTTCAGGGAATGCAGAATCATTTGAAGAGGGGGGAACGATAAGTTCCTCGTAGGAAACACAAATTTTCAAAGGGTACATGAAGTGGAAGCAGCTCTGTCTGTGAACTGAATCATGCTCCTTCTGGGTTCAGAAACTGTGGCCCACATTTGAGTAGTTTCTAAAAAGAGCTGCAAATGATTCAGATATCTTGGTTGAACTGAAAACAGAATGCATCTGCTGGTTTTTTAAATTTGAGGCAATGCTTGTAAGAGTGCACACCCGCAACTAGGATGAGATATGATGGTGATCATGTAAGAGCTTTAAGTTTGTAGTCATATATGCCTTTTTTTCAGGTATCCCTCTGTGAATATTCTAGGTATCAGTTTGGTTTGCCTTGTGATATATTCTTCTCAAGTTAAATGAGCAATGTACTCTGCAATGTAATGTTAAATAACTTGTGGATGAGTCAATCATGCCAAATGCAATACTTGTTCCTGCATTTACTTTTTTTTGTGGATTCAAGTTCAGGGTTTTGGTAGGCCTCAAGTGAGTCAAATTAGCTTGCAAGTTACTTCTCAGTGAACTTGTAAACACTTCAATTCAATAATAAAGCTTGAGTCTAGCTGAGGAACTGTGCCTGACCAGAAAATCTTCGTTTGTTTATAAAATGAGATCAAACTATTCGGGGTTGAAATGAGTCAAACTGGTTGAATTTCTGAACAGTTCAACAAGACTTGCACGCTTAAGTTTTTAGTAGGTGTTGCTTACGAGCAATTTTTCTTTCCGATTAGCAAAATAATATATATGCTGTTCGTGAACTGATTTGATTTTGAAGTCCAGTAAACGCAAGTGAAAGAAGAAAATAGTAGATATTTGTTTTAATAAAGAAAAAGAACAAGTGAATTTATGTTTAACGAAGGAAAAGATTCAGCTTTTATAATTAATTTGACTAATTATATTTTATACTGTGTTTTAGAATAATATTTATTAATTTTTCATTAAAAAGTTACGTGTTTGTTTGGAATATTAAGTAATTACTAAATACATAGTTATTTACTCTATTTTTCAGTTAAGTTGCTTTTTAAATATGTATATAAAAATATATTTTATAGAAGTAAATGTTATCCCATTTTTATATTTATGAAATAATAAAAAAAATTTACTTTATAATCAATATGGTTGAGTTCTCTATTATTATTAAAGTCTTTGTTATCAGTATTTGTTATTTAAATTTAATAATATAATGTTAAAAATATATTTAATTATTTTATGAAAAAAAACTAATTTTTTATTACAATAAAATGTTAATGTTAGGGAAATATTGGACAATGACATCATTATGTAGCCGATTTTACTTACGGGAATAATTTTAGTTGTTGTTTTTATTCTTTTATAATGTTATGTTGTGAAGTTATTTATTAATTAGTATAATATGATTGTAATATTAAATATTTTACATAAATTACAGAAAAATTTATTGATTACAAGATTCGAACACAGCCAAACAAACTTAAATAACTCTGAGTTGAGTGAAAGAAAAAGCTACTTTACTTTCTTAAGGAGCTTAAGCCGTACCTGAGTTAAGCCTAATTTGCTGGCCTGTTATCTATTTATTTTTTCCACGAACTCTCATATTTTTCATACTCGTTTTTTATTTATTAAATTATTTATCGCACTTTTTCTCTCCTTTTGTTTTTGTTTCTCATGATCGTTCTCATCCATCCATTAATTTCACAGGTATGAAATAATAATTTTCCTTTCTCTTTTTCTTCTGACCAGGATGGGGTGGGGGCATAGCTGTTATAACACATTTTAAAGTATACAAGGTGTGTGACATTATTAATTGACAATAGTTGTCATAATTTATTACTTTTATTTTTATTTACTTGCATCTATAAAATAAAAAAATACTAATTTATATTCTTTTATTATTTGAAAAGTCTATCAATTAGTAAATTTAGTAATTAACTTTTTGGGTACATATAATTATTTAAAATAAATAAATAAGTAATATTTAAAAACAGTGGGTGTATGCAACCTGTATGGTAATTCTAGGGCAGTGAGGGAAGAAAATAAGCTAGGTGCAGTTAGATGATGTTGCTGGTTGGTAATTGATGATACCAAAAGGAGGTGGGTAAATTTGGTTTCTTCAAAGCTCACATGATGTCTTCATCACGCTTTTGATTGTTGGTTTCATGTCAAAACACCTAAACTTGGCGCCTTTAATTTTGGTCCCCTGGAGATAGGTGCGCTCTTTTAATACAACAAACTTGGCCACTCAGATAGCTGTATCTAATGTTGTAATACTTTGATAACTCTTACCATTTATAATTGCAAATATTTATGAGTTAAGTGGTACCTAAGAGGACACGAAGAAAAAAACTTAAAGAGTAGTCTTGGATGCTAATTGCTGAGGAAAAAATAATCTACGAGAGTTTTAAGAAACAATTAAAGTAGAGTCTAGATTATCATCATTATGCAAGAAGATTGATTTTGAATTTTGTCAACTATTTTTCAAAATAAATTGCTTAGTTATTAAATCATTTTTATGTTTTTAATAAATGTCTTTTTTTTATTTATTATTGAAATTTTGAAATTTGTTTGAGAAGTTTTAAAGAATAAAGCATTTTTGTTAGACATGATTGATTCAAGTATTACATATTTAATTTTCGTTAGAATATGTTTGAGAGTCAAATTTTGAAAGAGAAAAAGAAAAAAAAAATTTATTCCTAATAAATATGATCTTATTTCATTATTTTTTAAAATATAACAATAAACTAACATAAATTTATTGTGCTAACTATTCATTTATTTATTTATTTATTTTTATAAATATCATACCACTCTTAATTTAAAATTTCAACATTTAGCTTCGAGTCTTATGAGACAAATAATTGTTAAAAAAATAATTTATGGTTGTATTGTAAATGTTGTTCAATGGGAATATGATAGACTCTAGTAGTTTAACTCTGATGAAAAAGAATAAAGCAATTTGATGACGTAATTGATATTTATGTTTCTAAATTATTCGTGACAAATTCAATTTCACCGACCCACCCCCTCCTAATGAAAAAAAATGGAGGAAAGGGACAGAGAAGCCAAAATCTTGAGTTTCTGACTTCGGTTTTCTTTCTTTGAGGTTGCATGCATTTATCTTCACTTGTTAATGTCAAAGGACATCTTTTTGCAAATTCAAAATACCTCTCTTGTACGCTATGAGCTTGTTTGTTTTGCCGTTCAAAACTCTATTTTAATTAATAAATTCCAATCTTTTTACTTATAGAAAACCTTTATCATAAGGTGTGATAATTTTATTTCTTTAGATTAATTATATTTTTTATTACATCATTATCATTTTTTTTCTTTTCGTTTTATCTCGCCTCTTCCATTCATTTTATATTTTATTTTTCACTTTTAACAAATCATTTTCCTTTCTCTAATTATATAACTTAATTGATTTGTTGGGTATGTTTAGAAATCGAGCTTAAAAAAGAAAAAGAAAAATTATATCTAATATTTTTTAAACAAATTAAAGAAATAAAATAATAAATTAAACAAGTTTGAAATTTGAATATCTTTTTATAAATATTGTACAATCTTTTTAATTTATAATTAAAAATAGTCCTCTTTTTATTTTTTATTTGCCCTTAACCTCATTCCCAAAAGAATTTTTTTTATTGTCCAAACAATTATTCTCTTATGCTTCAAACTGATATGTTTCATTGTTATTATCTCTCTTGTGAAAAAAAATGATGGAATTAGCGTGCAAACTACCTATGGATAAGATATCATGTCTTACCCTACAAATAGGTCAAACCACAACCAACATTTAAGTACGTTATAAAGCTGTGTTTGAAGAAGGTTTGAATAAAGGTAGGATGATTAAGAAGGGCATTTGAAGGCAAGCTTGGTGCATTTATACAAGCAGATGTCACCCTCAAGACCAAAATAGACACAGCCAATGGAAAACATATATTGAACAAGTATCATGAGAGTTACAATAAGGGTGAACTTATTTTGAAGCTCCAATTAATCAACAAGTTGTATTGTTTTGAATATTGAATTAGTCATTATCTACATAGACAAATTTCCATTCCATTACATTATGGACATAATGAAACATAAAATGTTGGGTCACAGTCACACTTTGTCATATATTTATTTACCTTAATGCCATCTCCTTCTTTCTTTTATTGTCTTCTTTTTTATTATTATCAGAATGCCATTTCTTTCTTTCATCCATCTATGATCTATCTAGTTCCTTCTGGATACAGGTGTGGTCAATCCAGGGCTGAAGAGAGATACTAGATCCATATGTTCGACTTCCATGGAGATTACACTTAGCTCAAATTCTTATTTTAATTTTTTATATGAACTCTGGTATTTGAAAGTTATTTTAGATCCAACTAATTCAGAATTGAGCTAAATAAACCACATAAGGAATTAAGTTTCTAATCTCTAATTTTTCCAACACGTTAATTTGAATCGAATAAATCAACTACTAAAATTTTTAGTTTAGTTAGGCTCCCCTAATAAATGCACGAGCAAAATCCAAATCCTAATGCATTGTTTATAAATGAGCTTGAAAGTTGAAACCTGTCGCCATTTTATAATATTAATGCCACATTAGGTGTTGCACTGCACAGGATGGCGAAAAGCCTTTCACCTTTAAGAATCCTCATACATTATTGCGATAAGACGGAAAATATCAAAATAAGTAGCCATTTTATAAATGAGAGTGGGGTGACAATCATAATACTTGTTTCGTATGTCTTTGCAAGTTAATGTATTATGATTTTTTCACTTAAAGATAAGATACAAGTTTTTCTATTCTTTTATAATGATTTTTTTAATGAATGAATCTATAAAAGCAAAAAAGTTTGGAAAAATATATACCATTCATATCATACTTGTTTATATGAATTGACTGTTATAAAATATATAATTAAACTCGATACGTTATTTAAAATAATTTTATTTTATATGTATCTTAAATTATTGAACAGAGTTGTGATCTACGATATGCTAATGTTTATTTATTTATTATGATTTTAAAATTTATGTTAAAATTTTAAATGCTCATACATATCCATGGATATTTACTTATAAACATAAGGATTATAAATGGATAATTTTTAACAAGAAAAAAAAAGTTAACAACACACTGTTTCTAATTATTTTTAAGTATTAGTTAAAAATTATTATAAAAATTACTTGAAATTTTTGTTTAATTTAATAATTTTTACTGAATTTTTATAAGTTTTAATAAAGTTTTATTAATAATTGAGAATATAATAAAGATGGGAAACATGCGGGATAAACATTATCCGTCTTCTTCCTCTTCATTTTCATTCTCAGCAATGAACTGCAATTTTATAAGCAATATTTTGTCATATCTGTTACAGATAAAAAAAAATTATCTTTTGTAAATCTGCTTTGAATACGTAAATTTTAGCTACTAATATTTCTTAGAAACTACCTATAAGAATTCAATTACAAAAAAAATAAAAAAATTCAACCAAATATGGAAACAAAATTCTAATCTCTATTTAAAAAGCACTGTTACGAATTAAAAAGTATCGTAGTAATGATGAGCTAATCCAATTAAAACATTTTTCCTTGATCTGCAATAAAATAAAATTCTATCACGGTTAAGAAACTTGAAAAAGAAAATTTTAAATTCTATCA